AAGTGTCTAGATGTGTATACATAGGTATTTTGACTGTTGACTTTACGATGATCGCGATGGTTTGTTAATTTGTATGCTATAGGTTTTTCTTTTGGAAAGAGTGCTCAAAAAACAGGCATACGATGAGCTACGCGGCGAATTGAATATTTTAGAAATTAATATTAATCTATCATAATTTATGTTTAGATAAAATAGATAAAATATTATTTCATCTATTTTATATTTATGTTAAACCATTTTTAAGGACAATAGTATATCTTTAGTATACACATTGTAATAACTGAAAAACTACTCTTTTGAATTTTAAATAAGGTACATTAAAATTTGAAAAAGTAGTACAAAAAATCTCAGCAATTTGAAAATATCGTCTTTAAATAGGTATATATTTAAAAATTCCAAAAATCGGAATTTAAATAAATGTATTGCTAAATTAAAAAATGGCGGTGAGCGTGTTCGGGGTGAATCACTCTGATCTCCAACTTTTACTCGATTGAAAAGACGAAAACCACATGGCTAAACTATTACACGTTATATTTCTGTAATTTTTTAGATACAGAGCCACTTGTGCATCTATATATTGACGATTGACTTTACCGAGATGATAGTGATCGTTTGTTGATTTGTCTGCTTTAAGTTTTTATTTTGGAAATAACGTTAAAAAAATAGGCCTATAAATCGCCGTTCGAAAATTGGGTTTTTATGATTATTCTCAGGAGTTTTAATTTTGAACAGGTTGTTCTGTTGTAATTCAAAAAATAAATTAAGTTTTCAAATATTCATCAGTTGTTTTTAATTTGTCGATGTGAAATTATTTCCATAAAGTACACATTTTTTTTTGGCAAATTTATCTGGCTTTCAAATGTTTTTTTCAAGACGGTAGTACCTAATATCATGTATTTCAAAAATCGTATGTCTGGCAATTATTTTCAGTTTTTGTTTTTTTGAATTGTGGTGATAATTTTAAATTCAATTGCGTGATGATTATAATAATATGTATATTATTTTTCTTCGTAAAAATTTGAAGTTTTTTTTAAATTATTGTGACTAACGATAATACTGACGATATAGTTCATTGATATTTAATAAAATGTGTTCTTAATATTTAATCTTTAAAATAATGTGATGGGTATATAAACAATACTTTTAAAACAAAGTTCTTGCGAATGCTATATATAAACTTGGAAATAATACATTCAGAATCTTTTTTTTTTTCAAATGCAATAGTATTTTCCACTTCTTTCATTTTTATTAAAATAGTAATAAATAACACACGTCACACATCTATCCTGCTCCGAGATAAGCGAAGCGAAACGAGAGCCCGATTCTTGGTCTTCTTACAATTCCGTCCATCAGTTTTTCACTCCGTAGTTGTATAATACGAGTTAAGTGTATTTATTATGTAGACCTTGAAAATTACGGAAAACCCGACCAGATCGAAAACAAGAGAAAAGGGCATGTGCATGCAAGTACGTTTACTTTGGAATAATAATATTGCATAATATATATTTTTATGATATTATATAAAGTTGGTGATAGCAGCGTTGTTATTATTGTTATTTTATTTGGGTTTAATAGTTTGTGTACCTATATCACTCCAATCGTATTCAAGGTCAAGTTTAGTTTTTTTTCTGAACTGGAAAATACATTTTCAAGAATTTGTCGATATATTTCAAAATTTAAATAAATTTCTTTCAGTGAAAAACACGAATAACATAAATAAATATATTTTTGATTTTAAATTGTGCCCATATTGATTAATCCGACTCATTACACAACAAAATAGCTGATGGGTGACCACAATAACAGTTCCCATAAGTTGTGCATGTGATTAATTCATTTCTCATGTAGCGTATTATTATAAAATTATTTAGCTAATGTAGGTACCTACCAGTTAATATTTTTGCGATATAACTATAATAACACACGATCCATAAATATTAGACTTATAATTTTAATTTGTTTTTATATCACAATATATGTGTAACCCACTAACACTATAAGAATATTAAATATTTAATTGAGTACCAAATAGGATTTCTATATAAATCATTACTTATTGAATATTACAATAGAGACATATTATTATTATAGTTATTAATTGTTACTATACTAAATTTTGTATTTTTTATCATAGAAAATATGACATTCACCGTTTTTAAGATTTGTATCTTATGGTTCACGATTAAAATATATAGTTGTTATTGAGAAAGAAAAGGGAAACGAGTGTGTGCAATAATACTTTGAATTTCGACATCATAGATTGTGGTCCGTTTCAATATTATAATTGTACTTGGTCTTTTGAGACAATACAATCATCAGAATGAATAAATTATGTACTTATACCTATATCGCTTATTGTTATAGCCATTGTGTACAACTATCAAACATGTATCTATAATCTATATGCGAATATACTAGGTACCTCCTGGCTCCTACCTACTTGGGAAATTGTATCAATTTTTGTTCCAAAATATTTACTTTTCAAAAACCTTACACTCACGTCATATTTTGTGGTTTGTTTCAATAATATTGACATAGTGTACTTAGTCCTTTGAGACATTACAATCATAAGGATCAATAAATTATGTACGTTAGTATCTACATGTTGCTTATTGTTATATCCATTATATTCACAAATATCGAATGTCTATCTATGTACGAGAATACAAGTAGATACTACTTAGAAAACTTTAGGTATCGAGGAATTTGTTTGAAAATATTTATTTATAAAATATGATACACACGTCATTTCTTATATTATTTATAATGTATAGGTATCGGGTACAATGACGACAAGACATTTTACGAACGTTGGTAGATACGTTGATAACCATATACCAGCTACTTGGTTTTACACAATTATTATTCGGATACCTGGTTTTACGCATAAACATACTGTATTGTCCTTAAAGTATAACGAACTAACTATTGTTATCAACTATATTAGTTAAATTATTATTTCTACGTATTAGGTATCATATTTTTTATGTATTTACTATCTTGTATTGTTTTGGGTATATCCCGTGTTGTAATAAAAATAAAATAAAAATATTGTATCTAACCAAAGACGCTATGCAAAGAGATAGTAAAACTTTTAAAATATAAAACACATTTTCGTCAAATTGGCTGGTCGTAGAGATATTATAATATTATATGTTATATTATGGTTTGACAATCTTTTTAATTCTGAGTGGAGTATTAACATTGCCAGTTCAAAATATGAACCCACGAAGGCCACTTGTAAATAATACTTCAATAACTATTATTATTTCGATATTATAGATTCCGTGCAATAAATTATATAATATCTGTTTTGAAGCCGATGTACTCGTTAAAATTTAACAAAAAAAAATTCCAGTGATGTCTGCAAATCGTCCGTCTCAAAATCAGGTATTCCGAAGGAAAGTTAACTATTTAATTTTCAAACTAATGTAGTGACCCCTCAAAATTTCAAATAACTGTTTATATTTTATATTATTCCATTATCCTGTAACATATTATGCGTATAAATTGTTATCAACAGTAATCGAATTCTAATTAAGTATAATATTAGTTATACTCAATTTTTGATACCATTTATTTTAATAATTTTTTCATATTTATATGCTCACGATTTCAAGTTTCAACTTCTGAGAGCAATATTGTAGGTATAGGTACATTCACTTGATATTGTTATTATGTATTATATATAGAGTAGGTGTTTGAATGGCAATTTACCAATTGGCCTTGAAATTTAATGACATAATTCGAAGGTTACCTTATTCAAATTTCTTCGTGTATTTGAGTCTCGGAACGTCTCGTATATTAACAATATAACTTTTATGTACATAATAATAGCATGTGAGGACTATATTATTTTCAATTGAAAATCATTGACATCCTGCAATCTTTACATTATTGTAATTAATGATTCTGCATGATGTTATCCGGACGGTCATAAATAAAATTACTAACTTTAGTGTTGTTTGTACTGTAAATGTTATATTATTATTATTGTTGTTTGTATTCGGAACAATATGGTATTAAAATATGTATTAGTACCTAGTTGCTAAGAGTGTAGGACGTAATAACTAAAAACAGAATTTATTTAAATTTAAATTTGTTTTTTTTTATTGATAAACTTGCGGCCACATATGCCATATAGTGTGCATAATAAATAAATTTATAAATTTACATTTACAATATTATGAAATGATAATATTTACAATATTTTTTGAGTGTGTCTCCTGTGATTCGTTGAATGGTTGGTTTCTTGGAAAGGTATGGCCAGTTGGATTAATCTGTTTGTTCATGTCAGTAACATTATATCAAAAATATAGAATCACGTTTATATTTTCTTGTGTGCCTACTATTAGAGTTTGAAAAAGACTTAAACGCTTTACATGATGTGTAATATTACTAATATTGAATATTATATTATTATGTACTTCGTCGGTTTCTAATTCAATTTTTTTTTCGTGTTGTGGTTATTACATTCTTTTAATATTTAACCGTATATTTTTTTTATTGAGTACCTATCCTGAATAATAAACAGTACCTCTAGGGTTGCCAACCGGCCGGTATTTTCCCGGCCCGGCCGGTATTTCACATATTTAGACTTAAAAAGCCGGTTGCCGGTATTGACCTATAAAAAGCCGGTATTTTCAAAGTAATAATATTGTAAAATTATAAAAACCCAGTAATTCCACCTGATCGAGAGTTTTGATATTATATATTAATATTTTATCATTTTTATGAAATTGATTATCACATGTTACTGTCAATAAATCGTATACCTATCTTAATGACTTCAGATATCTATCGTCCTTTTTGACATTTTTATGAGTACTATGATTAGTATGTACCTTGTTAGTTGTTCCTATTATGCCGTTCTCGTTGGTGAATATGTGATAGACGATTCATAATAGAGTTTAGTTTCGTTATTCTGTTCGGACTGTTCGGTAGTACCTATTAATTTTACATTGTATATACTTGATTGAAAAATTATACGCATTTTTAAAATGAACGAAAATGAAACGAAAAAAAGAATTCGTAATTGTGTTTTTAACGATGAATGGTTAAAAGATCAAATATTTTCTGATTGGATCGCTAAACACAATAACCCTAATAAAGCACGATGTATATTATGTCAGACAGTTTTTAGTGTTAAGTATGATGGCGTTAAAGCTGTAAAAACACATCAAGAATCAAAAAAACATGAAGAATCCGTCAATTCTATAAATAAATCGTCCACTATAAAAAAGTTTTTTCCTACAAGGAATGATAAAGATGAAGACAAAATAGCAGCCGTTGAACTGAGTAAGTGTTTTCATGTAGTTAAACACCATCATAGCTATCTTTCCAGCGATTGTGGAGTAAAATTAGAGTCGAAACATTTCTCAGATTCAACGATAGCTAATAAAGTCCACCTGGGTAGAACGAAAATGGAAGCTATCGTCAAAAATGTACTATGTCCGTTCGCTATTGAAAAAGCAGTAATAAAACTCAAATGTCCTACTCCTATTCCCTTTTCTATATCTACAGACGCTTCAAATAAGGGAAATAGAAAATTTTTTCCATTAGCGGTTAGGTTATTTAATTTTGAAGACGGAGTGAAAGATTACCTTTTAGACTTTTACGAGGAACCAAACGAATCTTCACAGTCAATTTTTGACACGATTACTTCTGCAATTGAATCTCTTGGCTTAGATATAAAAAATATAACAGCTTTTGGTGCCGATAATGCCTCTGTTAATTATGGAAAACATTGTTCGGTCTTCGAAAAATTAAAAAATAAAAAATCCAATATAATTAAAGCTAATTGTAACTGTCATGTGATTCATAACGCAGCAAAGCATTCCATGAAAGTTATAAAATACGATGTAGAAACGTTGGTATTAAAAGTTTTTAATGAATTTTCTATGAGCTCCAAAAGAGTAGATGAACTTAAAGAATGTTTCGAATTTGTACAACAGGACTATCATAATGTATTGCGACATATTCCGGTGAGATGGCTGAGTTTGTTTAATGCCGTGGACCGATTAATTTTAAATTGGAATGCAATTAAAACTTATTTTATAAAAAAAGGAAAAAATGAATGTGATAAAATCATATGGACATTTATTGAAGATCAGAAAAATGAACTTTCTGAACAGTTAACTTTAAGAGAATGTTACATTTGGTTTGTTCATCATGTGTTGTCCATTTTTCAAAAACATATTTTAATATTAGAAAAAAATAATTTAAACGCTCCAGAAGTCTATGATGTAATGTTAAGTTAAAGCCGAACTAGTCATAAGAAATAACATAACATACAATTGTTCAGAGTTTTTTGATCAAATACAAAATGAAAAACATTTATTAAACGCCGTGAAAAATGCCGCTAAATATAAATTTAAAAGTTTACAATAGTTTATTTATAATAGTTATTATAATAATTTATAAGTTTATAATATTAAAGTTTAACATAATGTAATACTAATATTATTAATTTTTTTATTTTAACGTATGTAATTAATTATATTATTCGTCATTTTATTATATTAATATTAAAAAATGATGACCTTTTTTTTTTTTTTTTTGTACACTTGGGCCGGTATTTTTTAATTCCAAAGTTGGCAACCCTAAGTACCTCTCGGGTAGCTGGTACACTATGGTAATATTATAGTGTCCTGCAGCACCCACTCTTAAGAAATATTGAAATATTATGAAACAAATAATGTATAATATATCATATTTAAGTAAAATAATCTTTATCCAATGTGGAACTTACTTGTAGTGCCAGAAAATATGTTTGTATCAGATTTATAATCCGAATAGTTTAGTTCTGCTATGAATCAAATCGTAACTTATGATTTATTAATAAAGCTCAATACTCATCATGTACAATAATTACTATATTTAATATCTCTATACTATACAGGTAGGTATATACGGTATACCTACAATGTTTTATAGGTTAATCGGTAAACATAAATATATAATTGGCAAATACACTGATGGGTATTTGTTGTACTCTTTTATAGTCTTGTACACCTATATACAATCATTTTTATTTTTTAAGGTATCGGTCGATTGTAATTTATATTGTGTTGACTTAACTGCTAAACATTTATCAACGGCGGAAAATATATGTATTATAATTTATTATACACTCGCGTTCGTTGTAAATATAATAATATATCATAGTTTAGAAACGTTTTTGTCTGTATATTTCATTGAATTCGTGGCGGTTGGTGCAGTAAGTTACCACAAAACATCTTATACCCACGTATTAAATATTATTTTTTAATATAATAAACTGCACACGTATAAATTATTCCCCGAGATTGAAAATATCTTTGTAGGTTCAAAAATTTCTTACGTTAAAAAATATCCAATTCAAAAAAAAGTTTCTAGCTCCATCAATATTGTTAGTACGTAATTGATTTATTTTAAATAATTTTCCTTACTCCAGTAAAAGTATACATTTTTAATATCGCACTGTTATTCATTAGTTTATTTAATTCACACAAGTTAAACCAACGCGAATGTAAACAAAGCAAAATAAATTAAATAATTTCACTCTTATAAGTCTTCGTCAACCGCTTAATAGAAGGGTTCCTGGGTTGGGACCTCATTTCTCCCGGCCACGAAAGTTGTCGAAGATTATTTTTTTAGCACTGTTTACTGCGTAACTGAATAATACTTGCGTTTATAGATCTCTTTTTAAATTTCCTAAGGTCTTATATATAGGTCTGACCCTAACTATGTATAACAAAATATAATTTAAGGGATATTCGTGGTACGTGTTATCTGAAATCTAGATCATCATCGTTGACTATGTGATTTGCCCTTTCAATAATATGCTCCATGATATTAATTTTTCTACCTATATGTAAATTATGGTCAACGAAAGGGGCGGTTTTTAACCTGTCGTCCGTCTCTCGTACGGTGAATAGGAAATCGTACGAAATCTCAAACGGTGTAATAATATTAATGGTAGGCAGGAACGTATAATATAATATATTAACCAGACTAACATTTATGGAATATGTTTACGGAACGTGTTATTAATAATACGTAGTTCAAAAACAATATTACCATTACCTACCATGGTTGAGGAGGGTGTGAGGGCGTTAGAACATGATATTTCATATTATAACGAATTATATTTGATTACCTAGATCACAAAATCATCGGTCAAATAATGTCCGTGTTACACCCGTCACTACTTAAACGAAAATTCAACAGCAACAATAAATCGTGCCACGTTATAAATTATAAAAAAAAACCTTTGGTATAATAAATTATAAATTGATGCGCGTTCAATTTGTTCTATTGTCTTAAAACTCGTTCGTATTAATTAAAGTTAGGTCACAATATAAAACGTTTTATATTCTCGGCCACTCCCCGCTTTTGATCCGGGCCCGAACAGTACCTAGACACAGCTGTCGAGGGGGTCGAAATAATAGTACCTATAGAAGGTGGATACTTTAATACTTATACCAGATGACCAGATGATATGTGTGTACTTTATAACACATTACAAATGTAACATTAAGCCTCGATTTGTAGTGGTAATCATTATATATTATTATATATCTTGGCAGGCAATAGTATATTTGAAATGTACAAACTTACTGTGATATATTATTATTAGGGCCCAGGTTTTTTTTTTGGTTCTATAGGAGAAAGCATTCCAAGTACTTAATTCGTTTCCTGTAACGCAGATACTTGAAAGGGGAGAATTTTATTTTCAATTTTTAGCTTTTCCGCGTTGTTTTAGTAAAGTTAAGTGTATGTTAAATATTAGTTGATACATTGTACGAACTTTTAGTGAAAACTCAGGAAAATAAAAATATTAAATAAAGAAGTATTGTTTTCATAATATTATTTGTTTTAATAGATATTAGGTATTTTTTATCCGTACCAAATGTCAATAGGTATTGTTTTATTTATGAATGTGATTAAGTATTTTATATATCCACAGCGGTTATTGGATGCGGTTAGGTTATACCGGTGTCTTATACTCAAACTTATAACAACTGTAAGTTGTCAGTTGGAATTACATCGTGATCGCTTTAATTTCGATTATCGAATAAGCATACTCGTATACTGTTTATTTATTGCCCGTGACTAAGTTTGATGTTTATTTTTTTTCTTATTATTTTTAGTCTAGTTAAGAATTTAAGATACATAAGTGTTAAAAACCATAATTGTTTTTCTCTCGCTTCAGAGTGTGTATCAAAAACATGGGTGTCATTTTTTAAGGGCGTTTTTGATGGTTTTAGGGCATTTACCTAAATCTGGGCCCTAATCTATTGTTATAATACTCGTATATACGCGATATAAGAAGTCGAAATATGTATACCTGTAATGCGTAATTGGTTATAGAGATCAAGGGGCTGTAATTTTTTTGATAAAACTAAGTAGGGGATAAAATATTTTAATGGAAAAAACAGTGGTACCATGTATTTTCCTCTGGTGGGGATTTTGACCACTACCAATATAATATTTTACAATTCCATTACCACTTGCATCACATTTATACTAGTATGAGTATATGATCTAAGCATTGCCATATTATACAATAATAATATATATATATGACTCCGTTGACTATACCTACTCGTAATTTTCCCATCGGACGTCGTATTATTATAAATATATTATAATAGAAGCGTATTATTATTATTATTATTACTTTTGCTCTGTACTCGGCAGTTGCAGTAGACGCGCGTGCATTGCAAACAGGATTCGCGCTTGGGTGGGCCGCCGACGGGGGACATGATGTACTCGACGACGAAGAAAAATGATTTCACCCGTGAAAACTATATATATGTATATAATATTGCTATTGTTTTTTTATTATGTATCGTATATTAGTATTACGCACTGTCCGGCTGGTTGCTATATAAATGTAGGTATATAAAATACAAACCGAGGAATTGGAAGCTGATAATACGCGTATAATATACACCACTCATATATATATATAATATATACCTACCTAGGTATATTAGACGTTATAATATGATATCATATGTATTGTACGGGACCAGTATTCGCCGACGACCTCAGTCGCATAACAATTAATATATAGGATGTGTATAACATATTTTATAATACTTATTATATGTTACGGCGTGGAACTGTCAAATCGAATATGAAACTAAATGAAAAATAATATATCATAATATTATTCCAGATGGACTGGACCCGAAACTGATGCAGCGTGGCACTGTCAAATCGAATATCAAACTAGATAAAAATATATATTATGAGATATAACTATTCCAGACGGAATGGGCGGCGAGAGACTGATGTGATATTAAAATATATTATAAATGTTGTCTCTAGAACGCATACAGGTGGGTCACGAGTCACGAGTCGTTTATATACAGTGAATGTTCGTCTCATAGTTTCACGTCTACCGTCGGTGTGGATTCTTAGACCTAGAACGAAATTTTATTGTGCCACAACAAATGTTTGACAAAATTCGTATGATGTTTAACATAATATCATATTATCAATGTTATTCACATAAATGTTTACATTAAGTATAGGTAGTAATATGAATTATGGAACAAGTTGTTATGAGAATGTCCTCGGGCGGGTATGGCCGTTTTCGACCGTTTCAACCAAAATTGTACCTTTCCCTTTTCGGTCAATTCACTTTTCGACCAAACCAAAAAGTTTAATATCTACTTTCTGTTATAAATATCGAAAATTGTTAAAAATATAAATGATATAAAATGTTATTATTAATCAAATAATCAATGACAACACTTAAATAGGTTTTAATACATTTCTAAATATATAAAATAAAGTAAGTACCTAAATTCTAAACTTTTTGGTTTAATGGAAAAGTGAATTAGCCGAAAAGGGAAGGGTACTATTTTGATCGAATAGGGTCTCGCACCCTTGGAACACCATTGTAATTTTCTCTCTTTCTGTTCCAAGAGCAAAATGGCTGCAAGTTTGGCAGATCCAATCCCTCATTGTTCGCTATTTATTAATATCAGAGCGAATCTCTCTTATAGAATATAGTTAAATTTAAAGTTTAGAACATTAACTAGGTGTTTTTAGTTTTTGACGATATTACAATTTAAATGTGCTAATATAATATGATAATTATTGTACTTGACTTTAAGTTTGATAATAGAAAATTTGACTCCAATAATATATAATTATCAAAGTTGATAACACAAGATCCTTTAGGTTCTGTTCAGGGTCGATTTGGGAAGTCTCGGGCCATCGAGAAATATTTTTCCATTGGTCAATAACTAGTATGGTGGCC